CTGTAAAATAATTGAACAGTATAAAAAAATGCGGTCTATCTCAAAGTTCAAAAACGCAATCCGGTGTGTGATAATATATGTACGGGATTGTCTAAATAGTAACAAAAATATATATACATTTTTACGTACGATAACATTTTTGCCTTTATACATGATTGTTATTTTGTCCACCATGAAACACAATTCCACCATTTGATGGTGGTATCAATAAAAAAAAAAGCACCAGATCGGTGATCATCTAATAGTTATTAAAATTCTTCAAGATCATGAGTTCAATCAACGTGAGAAAAATGATTTATACCTTAACGGTGTTGGTCTCGAACTCCAAAACAAATCAAATGCAAAAGTTTAGTATTTCCAAACTTTATCCCAAGAAAATCAAAATGTTTTTTGAAACAATTATTCGCTAAACAAATGTTTGTGTGGATGAATAGTTATGTTTGTCTAATATATAGATTACTATAGCTAGATTTATTAGCAAAAACAAAACAAAAAGAGAGCATATGGTTTGTTCTTACTGGGAATTCTATTAGTACTAAATTGGTTTGTTTTATTGTGAAAAGTTAGAAAATCTAAAGTAACATCTAAACTAAGAATATTGAGAGAGAAAAATAGAAAAAAACTTTTAAAAACTTAGTAATAAAATCTCATTCAAATAGATAGATATATGTGTATAGAAGTAAAACATTGAAATTATTATATAGAAACACAAAACCAAAGAAAATGCTGAATATTGAAAAATTTAATATAATTAAGAGTTTCAAATTCTAGATACATAAAGAATCATATAGTTTAAAAAAAAAATAGTTTCAGGAAATGGATCTCACAAATGATAAATGATTAAAATGGTTTCAAAAGTAATATCACTAGTCATTGGAGAATATATCAAGGATCACCCCATTGTTACAAAATCTATAGCAATCACCTATATAGGCCTCGGGCAATATAACTAATTATGGTTTATGTTTAAGTCAGCACTTGATTATATAAGTAATGAATCAAGTTTTTCATAAGTTTTTTACATGTATTATCATATTTGATCGAGTAGTCTAATAATTGGTTTGTAGAATTGAGAGTGGGTGTATGAATTGTGTATATGTTGGGGAGGTCGTATAACACGTCCATCGTGAACAGCCCGAGGTTTCTCAGCGCATTTTTGGATTGTGTATCTCTCTTTATGTCCATGGCCAATTCGTTAATCTGAAAATTTGAAAGATTTGTCGAATGATTCTATATATCACCACGAATACCAATAACGATTATAAAGTCTCTTTAGGTCAAGAAACCAAAAGTTAGTGATCTTTTAGATCGGAGCTAAGGAGAAAGCATATATCATTAGTAGATACCAAAATGAAATAGAAGATGGTAAGGAGAAGTGGATCATGAGTTAAAGTCTTTGCGGTAGCGAAATAAAATACTCGCAATAATATTTTTGTCATTTTGATCTCTGATCTCGGAAGAATTGGTATACTATTAGAAAACTAATAGTCAAAAGCTAAGAAGACTTTCTGACAAAACCGGATTTGTTAGTAGAAGATAGAATTCCATATGGTATTGATCATATTTCTTAAGAGTTGTTTTGCAAATAATGTTGTAAAGTCGAGTTGTTTACATCAGCAAAAGAAGAAGTCAAGAAACTAAGAAAAGGTATTAAAGCTGTTAATAATTTAATGATGATAAAATCATTGTTAAGTTATTGTGTTTAACTTTCAAAACCAAACCCACCAAACACATATATAAAGTACACAGAGCCTAACCTAATAAAGTGTTTTGACAAACCCTCCACATGCGTAAAAGTTTGCCTTGTAGCCTTTTCGGCTTTTTCTTGCTAATGCTTTATTACACTTCTTTGTTACCATTTATTTAAGCTTTATCGTTTCTAAACATATTTCTTTCAAGTGTTCCAAAATATCATAATTTGAGAGTTAATTTCTTATCCATATATAGATTATTACAAATGATGTTACAAGCCCAAGATACAATTGGTTCGATGGTTCTTTGGTGTTAATTGTGTGTTTAAACCAAAATGATTTACTGTAAAGTAGCTTGTGATACCGCGCAAAAGAAGAAACCAAAAATGGATATGACCAACTAAGAATCATGCGTAATAATATATTAGTATTGGTCCATATTTTATGGAGGACCATTTTATGAACGGAAAAAAAATGAGGATAGTTCTTTGACAAGGAGAAAGAATTCTCATTCAAGAGAGTAGTAATACAATTATGTATGAGCTTCATTAGAATAAAAGAGTTAATTTGGTACATGACAAAATAATAACTTTTATTTTGTTAAATGGTAATTTGTAAAGATTTTGGTTGGCAAATGAGAAATGAGCCAAGTATTTGGTACATGACAAAATTATGTATTTTTTTCTGTTTAGCGCCAAGTATTTTTTGTCAAACGCATGTGGACAAAATGAGCTCTAGAAACTTTTCTTATCCGAAGTATACAAAATTTATTTTATTTAATGT